GTCGGTATGACTCCGCGGTCACGGCGTGATCGTCGGTATGACTCCGCGGTCACGGCACGATCGTCGGCATGACTCCGCGGTCACGGCGTGATCGACGGTATGACTCCGCTGTCACGGGGTGATCGTCGTTGTGACTCGCGGCCACGGCGCGATCGTCGGTATGACTCCGCGGTCACGGGGTGATCGTCGGTATGACTCCGTGGTCACGGGGTGATCGTCGGTATGACTCCGCGGTCAGGGCGCGATCGTCGGTATGACTCCGCTGTCACGGGGTGATCGTCGTTGTGACTCGCGGCCACGGCGCGATCGTCGGTATGACTCCGCGGTCACGGGGTGATCGTCGGTATGACTCCGTGGTCACGGGGTGATCGTCGGTATGACTCCGCGGTCACGGCGCGATCGTCGGTATGACTCCGCGGTCACGGGGTGATCGTCGGTATGACTCCGCGGTCACGGCGTGATCGTCGGTATGACTCCGCGGTCACGGCGTGATCGTCGGTATGACTCCGCGGTCACGGCGTGATCGTCGGTATGACTCCGCGGTCACGGCACGATCGTTGTTATGACTCCGCGGTCACGGCGCAACCGTCGAAACGACTTCGTCTCCTGCGTTCGCGGACCTATCGCTCGCAATAGCGGCGTCATCGGCACTCGCGAAGCGGCAAAATCGCCGGCGGTCGGACCAAATCCCGTCCCGAAAAATTCCCGAATCAAATGTAATCCCGTCCCGATAATCGGGAATATTTTTTTCCCGAAAAATTCCCGAAATTTCGGGACCCGTCCATCCCTACTTATAACCCTCGAGGTAATTCTCAAGCTGAGTGATATAATGGAACGATTTGGAAGACTGTATCTCTTGTTCTGAGAAACAAGGGACTGAAGACAGAACAGTGGGAGTGTTTTGCCAGAAGCTTTGCATTGTATAGGCTCGTTACTATGTACAGCTACGAATGAGACCCCACATGAACGTCTTTTCAAACACCAGAGACGATCATTTTATGGCACCTCTCAACCTCAATGGCTCATGAATCCAGGACCAATATTAGTGAGAAGGCATGTAAGAAATAACAAATATGAACCTTTAGTGGAACAAGCTCAGCTGATAGAGGCTAATCCAGACTATGCTCCCATCAAGTATAGAGATGGTAGAGAGGTTCTGGTATCAGTGCTACATCTCGCTGTTCCCCCTGAAGCTATCCAACAAGAGGATGAGCCAGTGACTTCGGAAAATCCCAGTCAAGAACTAGATCCTGTTCTTCAAGACCTGAGACGTGAATCAAACCTGCTTCAACCTGAAATTGGGAACTCTATTCAATCTGAAATCGAAAAATCCCCTCTGCATGAGACCGTGACCCCTACTTCTGTGAGGGATGACGAAGAAACAAACCTGCGTCGTTCCACTAGAGTCCGAAGACCTCCCACCTATTTAAGGGATTACGTAAAAAAAAAGATGGGGTGAATGTTATGTAATATGATTCCTATTGTACTGTCAAATATTTCTTCAGCTGTTTTATTTAAGACTGTTTTGTTTATGTATGTAATGTTTACAGTTTTGTGCAATTCTCTCATGTAAAATGTAGCTGACTAGACTATTAAGTTGAATAAAACCATATAAATTTGGTTTCTAAACATTTCTTTTCATAACAAACGCCATTCTGGTGCATCATGTTGTACTCTTGAATAAAGAATATATGACTATGACTGATAGTCTTGTATATGGAGTTTAGTTTTAATTATTTTAACTATTAATTTTATTTTTGAATACATCACTATGACAAAACACCTGTTCGTATGAATTGCTCTTTATCAAGAACGTTTTGTGTTGATAAAACTATTTTTAAAATAATCGGATCCATCAAAAACCAATTCCAGCTCTAGATTCGATTATTTTGTGGATCCGATCGGACATCGATTCTAGCTATGGTAATCCGATATCCAGATCCGACCATCACTATTTAACCCTCCGAGTGTTATTTGTCGCTGCAGCGACACATAACACACTTTGTGTCGCTGCAGCAACTCACAAACACTGTTTACGGCAAAGGCTCTATGACTGACTGAATCGGATTGAACTGGATCGAGTTAGGTATCGTTCTTTTTGTTAGATTCAGAGCTTTCTCCGGAGGTCTGTCTCTAAGCGCTATTCATTTTAGTTCCGAAAATATTGTAGCAGACAGCTGACGTGCGTATTTGTAAACAGCTTGGTTAGACTCGGACCAATGACTGATGTGTTTGATATACTTGGTGCATTATAAAAAGATTTAAGTGATTTTGAAGGGCTGGTTGATGATCCTGAAAAAGTAGGTAGTGATATTGATGTAAATTATCCTCCAGATTCCTAGCTATGGTTAGGCTATGCATTCTTAGCTAACGCTTAATGTACGAAATATGTTTTTCACCCATAACTTATTTATTTGCAAACCTACTTCCTTATATTATTATATTTTTGGAATCCTCATAAAATTTAGAACAAAGTGGCTATTTTAAAAAAGTTTGTAGACCTAAAATTATAAAATTTATTGAGCGCAAACATAAATTTTTTTCATTTATTTTATAACTAGCAGAGTACCCGTCCTTCGTATGGGGTTGGCATTTAAGTATAAAATGCGTATTGCAGTTATACTCGATCTTTGCGTTTGCAATGTAAGAAGACACGGTCTGAGAAAATTAGCTTCCTAAAATTTACGGTATGCTATAGAATTACAAAAGTATTACACATCTACCATAGCCATTATGTTCTACCACTTCACCTACACAATAGAGAAAAATAGATTATTAAAAATTCGCAAAATATCACAAATTATTTAGTGATGGACGAGACTAGATTTTTCACTTCGAGACGAGACGAGACAAGATTTTTTTAATTCCCGCGGGACGAGATTTTTTTTCGGGACGAGATTTAATGAAAAGTTATAAAAAATTAATATCTACTTTTTAAGTTCAGATATATTTACAAGTTCTAAGAACTTGGCAAAAAATAGACAAAAATATTTAATATCTTTGATTGAAAACATTGATAAAAACATCAGTAGCCTATATAAAAGAAACGAATAAGGCCTAACTTATTAAAAATAACTCTTCGGCATAGGAAACATGGAGATGTCAGTTGGTATAATATAGTTCAACTTTGCAAAATATAAAAAACCACAGTATTACTAGTTAAGTATCAAGTAACAATTTTAAGTCTTGTGTTATTAATAGAATGATTTTGGAGTAAATTATATGTTTACAGTAGTAAAACATGTCTCACACTGCTTACACTAACAAAACTTTTAGGCATACAACAGCGCTTCAGCATACTAAATTATTTCTTTTTTTAAGCTCTACAAACGGTATAGAAAGAAATTGCAAAACTTTTGTTTTTTACCTGCTCTAGATTATGAACTTTTTAAGTACTGTAGATCAATTTTTGTATAAATTGATTAATTATTTAGGACGATCAAAAATGGGATGTTACAGCGAAATCTCTGAAACCCCATACAGCTTGCTATCCATTTTCATGCATCAGAAATGGTGCTCAAGACCGTCCGAGAAGGCCAGTACAAAAATGAAGTACAGGCCTGTGTAGTCCAATGAGTGCACCGTTCACGTCGTGGCCCCTGTCACTCTGATCTCGGCGGATCTAGGCTAGAGTCCTGAATGACTCTCTGGTGGGGGGCAGCAGCACCATTAGAACTGGGTGTTTCGTGCTGGTCTAAGATGAGGCTTGCCTCTCTTAGAGCAGGGCGCCCACCCAGACGTTCAGTCATAGCAATAGCTATGTCTGAGCACTGCGGGCCCTGGGCTAAGGTGGAATGTGACCCGTGCTGAGAGCCTTGCGGCACTGGGGGCCTAATACTCAGTGTCTGAAACGGAGCCTTCTGGGAACCAGGGGGAACCCAGTCGTATGAACGGGCATAGAACATCGAAGGAACTGGGAAAGAACAGAAGGAAATGTACAGTCCAAGAGAATGCTGAAGGCACCTACAGGTGCAATAGCGGCAGAAGCCCTTGGGCTGAGTAGGAAGACCCTGCGGAAGGTGGTTGGCTTTATTAGCGGCCATTAGGTATTCCGTGGACATTTACACAAGATGGGAATTCAAGTTGAGAGCCTCTTATGTAGGAAATGTGGAGAGGAGGAGGAGACAGCATTCCACGTGATATTTATGTGCCCAGCCCTACAAGGTCTGCGCATGAGATCCCTTGGCCTATTGACTGGAGATCAAAGGGCAGAACGGGTCACCATAGTCAAAAGGATCTCACGGTTCACAAAGGACCTGGGATTTGACAAAGAATGAGGACCTGTGAATGAGGGTGCACAATAAGCTGTTCTAGCTGCGATGCAATCCCATGGTTACTTAAAGCCTGGCCATCTATAAAGAAAATAAAAAAAATTTATTAAAATCAAAAATAATGGTTTAAATACAGTTCTGAGAAGAAAACCGCAAAAATACGGGTAGCCGCGTACCGTAACGATTTTGTACCGAGAACCGAGGTACAAAATATTGTACTGTACCGACCTTAAATTTTCTGTACCCCAGATCCCTATTAAATACCATATAGATTTATGTCTGTTTGCCAAGCCCTGATCAGATTTGTGGAGTTCATATTTGTGGGATTCTACTATATTTAGTTAAATTGGGGTTTTTGTAAATCAGTGCTATTTTTCAAACATTTATATTTATAGGTTTGGTTTGGCCTTGATTATTTAATTGTCGCTTAAATGTTACAAGTCTAATCAATATCTAAATTTAAATAAAACATATAATTGTAAAAAAAGTCAATAACAGGAATTTTGTTAATGTCATAGTTCCAAAGAGACATGTACCTACAGTGCAAACTTAGGGGAAAATAATGATTATAATAGATACTAGGAGAATAGATTGTCAATGGGTACCCTATGTGCTGAAACATATATGCAGACTTGGAAGTGGCTTTAAAGCAATAGAGGTTGCTTCAATCCTGTATTGGAGCAAAACTAAATACCAGCATCTTATCATTTTATTAAACATAAAACTCACCTCCTTCATTTTTTTCTCTTTTTTCTCTAGGATTTTTTTATCCCGAACTTCAAAACTGAATGGCTTCACTTCAGTTCGTTTTGGTATGAACTCTGGCATTGGTACTCCAAAAGACGTAAGATCTTCTGTGCTTTCTTGAAACTCATTCTAGATTTTAAAAAAATTACAAATTAGGAATATTAAAATTGTGTTATGATGTCCAATTCATAATGTGCGGTGAATATTGATTTTTGATTAAATTATTTTTTTTTAATAACCATATAATTGGAACATAAGGTGGAATGCGACCCGTGCTGAGAGCCTTGCGGCACTGGGGGCCTAATACTCAGTGTCTGAAACGGAGCCTTTTGGGAACCAGGGGGAACCCAGTCGTATGCCAATTTTAAGCATAACCTAGATACTGCAGAGGTCTGAGAATCTCACAATCTCATCCATTTTTTACCTGTATTTTCTAGCCTTGATAGCTCAGTTATCACACCAGGACCACCATCTTATTACAGTTCCCAAACAGAAACTCTTCATTTTGATGAAATAGTTCCATCCTTAAAAGCTCAATTTAAATGAGTGACACTTTATAAACTCAAATATTGAACTTTCCTAAAACCTCATCTTTAAAGAAAGCCGGGTGTGGTACATACATAGCAATATATTACACATAGCTATATATTAGCCAAATTTGGGGAATTTTCATACAAAATGAATTAACTTACTTATTCAAAACCTCTTTCTAGAAATTTTTTTAAAAAATTATAAAAATAAATAAATGATACTTGATCAATGATTTCATGGCCTTCACGAAACCGTTTGTGCCACTCATAAGCACTAAATAATGGATTTTTTTTTAATTTGTGCTCATTATGGTGGGACCAACTTCATGCACATCTATTTAACAACGGATCTTAAATGGGGCTGATCAACTACCACTCTTTATAAAGGCCCTTGTAAAAAGCACTTCACATGCAATTAAAAATATAAAGGGTATAGTTATCACAGCTAAGAAGTGTTCTTGACTTATACTTATGGAAAATAAAATTATAAGTTTAATAAATTAAATAATTAAGGTTTTGGAACTTACTGGCCACCATATTTGACCCGAAGAAAACTCTCACTTCTTTAGGTGAAAATGCTGTCATTGACAGTGAAATATTCTGTTTTGTGTATATATAGTGTTAATTTTTGTGTCTCTTGTGCCAGTTTGGACTCTTTCCCATACAAGTAAGCCTGCTATCCTCACAGAAAACCCTAAAAACTTAGACCCGTATCCTCTATATTACAACCTTGAATTTATTAATGTGTTTTTTCATTTTAATACTTACAGAAATTGCTGCAACTTTGACTCGTTTGTGAGCCCAAGTAGGTTTTGTTATGGCAGGTGATTCAGGAACAGTGATTGGGAGTTCTTTTTTGGGTGCAACACCAACCGGTTTCTCAAATATGGCCTTCGGTGCAGGTTTTGCAGTGAACTTGTATGGCTCATCTTCAATTTGAGTCATCTATTGTTAAAGTAAAAATTGACATTATTGCTGGAGGTTATAAAAATTAAAAATAACTTAGGCTTATCAGTGAAATTATTTATAAATTATGATTATGGATATCTCAGGCCAAAAGGCTTATGTCAGTAGAGATTCAAACAAAAACGATGAAACTTCTTACAAAACATTTGCTCCATAGTTACAAAGTAAAAGCTAATTCTTTAATCAAGTTAGTCATAATTTATCTAAGTAGTGGGAAAACAAAAACAGCTGCTAAGACTTGTAAATGGCAGTATTTGCCATAACTGAATGATTTAAGGCCTTTTCACACCGGCGTACTGGACGTACTGTACGTTTGGTACGTTTTTTTTTCAACAAATCCCTGCCCATGTTATCATATGAGCTCGTTCACGCCGCGCGTACAGAACGTACTGTACGTACTGTACGTACAGTATGTACGCGATGGTTTTGTGTGAATCGCCCGGAGAGCGATTTTTCTAAAACGTACGTGGCATACATGGGCTCGTGCATGCGCAGTGAACACTTCAAAACCACGTGCTCAGCCAGTGTTACTTGTCTGACTGCAAACGAACAAGTGTACATTTTGGAAGTTTCTGTGCGGTGTGAAAAGACCGCGTACTGGGCGTACTGTACGTACTGTACGTACAGTACGCCCAGTACGCCGGTGTGAAAAGGCCTTAATTGTCTGAGTTTCAGCCCCTCTCATTCCTAAGATTGATCTGTGACTGTAATATATTCTCTTTGTATATTTTAGCGAATTTCAATATAGGCAAGTAGCTATTACCGTAGGTGGCAAGGTAAGACCTAGGCCCTGGGCTGATTTACTTTTTCATTTTGATGTCCCCAGAGGCCAAAAACAAAAACACCATTCGTTCAAATTTTTATACATGTGTATATACACGGTGTTGAAAAAGTCTTAACCCACCCAAAAATAAACTAAATGGTGTAAGATAAAATTTTGCAACTTACACAAATCAGTATATGATGAATTTTCTAGCTTTTTGCAAGAAATCAAAATTTTGCCCCCACCCCCTTTAAGGGTAGATAGGGGGCAACTAAAAATTATCAAATGTAAAGACTATGTTGTGACCCCTCATTTTAAAGGTTTTAATTACATAGTAGAATACAATGCCGGAAATTTAACTCAAATGGATAATCGAGTCGAACATGGCAGCCTATCAAAGATATCTAGAATCTGCCATTTTGAATCTTTGAACGGCTCTCATATTTTACTCAGTTGTTCTTTTGAGCTCAAATTTGTGGCATTGTATTCTATTACTGTAATTAAGACCTTTAATTTGATGTGCATATTGACTCATCCATACGTTTATGATATTAACACATACGGTAATTTAGTTATGCGGTACCTCCTCAGGCCGGCCCACTAGTAGTCGAAGGAAAATCATAAACGTATGGATAGGTCAATATAAATATCAAATTTAAAGTCTTAGTTAGTAGAATACAATGCCACAAATTTGAGCTCAAAAAAACAACTGAGTGAAAAAAATGCAGCTAAACAATTGCAGCTGTTCAAAGATTCAAAATGGCAGATTCAAGATATCTTTGAACGAATGCCATTTTTTACTCGGTTATTCGTTTGAGATAAAATTCGCGGCATTGTATTCTACTAATTATGACCTTTAAAATGAGGGGTCACAACATGGGTCTTTATATTTGAAAACTTTAGCCAGCCCCTAACAACCCTTAAAGGGGAGGGGGCAAAATTTGTATTTCTTGCAAACTGTTATAGTTAGACTCGACAATCTAAAAAATTAACAGATAACATTCATTTGTTATTTTTATAAAAATAACCAATACTAAATTGATCATACCAAAATCAGCAAACCACCCTTCGTAACAAAAACTCTAGACTGATTATACTGCCACTAAACACAAAACAAATTTTTTTAAAGAAAATAATTTAATAAAATATATTGCAGCCAAAAATGTATATAAAGACAATCTTATTGATAATATGATTAAGAAAAAAACGAAAAAAAGAAGACAAATCGAAAAAAGAATACACATGTCTCCCTCATAACTCTAAATTAAATAAAGCCATAAGGAAACCCTTTAAAAAAAAAAAAATTATAAAGCAACATATAAAACAAATAACAATGTCTTTAAAATTAAAAATTCAAAAGTTTCCAAAAATCAACCACTAGGCCTACCTGAAGAATCATCAAAATTTAACAAAAGCGACATTTACAAAATTTCCTGTACAGATTGTAATAAATATTATATTGGCCAAACTAGTACTGTAGAAACTTCAACTGTATATTTCAAGACTACATACAGGTATTTAAATCTAAAAATGCCACAAGTATGAAATCAAAACTATACAGAACACTTATTAAAGACTAAACATAAACATCAAAACATAGAACAAAATTTATCAGTACTGTACTCAAATTCGAACCAAACAAAGACAAATTATTTATTAAAGAAGAATTGTACAATAGCCAAGCCACCATAAAAAAGATCCTGACAAATCTACTCAACACAATGCAAATTGCAAATCCAAAAACAAAACTTAAATATAGAAAAATCTCATAAAGTAAATTAAAATAAAATAATACCTAATCCAAATTATGTTTCAAGACAAAATTCCAAAAACATATGATGATTTAATTCTTATAATTTAAATTTCTGTTTGTTTAGTATTTAGTAACGGGGGACCGAGCCATGGCTCGGTATGTTTATTTCGACAATATCAAGGAAACTTGCATTTTCTTTGCAAATTATTCTGGCTTTTATTATAAAAAAAATTAACTTGGCAATCAAACACATTGATTTATTTTAATACTAGCTGTACCCACGGGCTTTGCCCCGTTTAACTTTATAAGTGAGCTCGTTCGCATGGCTCAATCACGTCCTGGTTGAAGTTCGTTCGCTACGCTCACTCATTTTTGGGTTGGAGCTTGTTCGCTGCGCTCACTTGCCTTCAGGTTAGCTCGTTCGCTACGCTAACTCGCCTCTAGGCTGAAGTTCGTTCGCTACGCTCACTCACCTTTTGGTTGCAAATTAGCTGTTGTCATAAATGTAAAAGAAATAATATTGCTGCACCCTGTTGGTAATCCTTGTAACGTTAGCGCTATTGAACATCATAGAACAGAACCAACTTGTTTAATTGAAACAGCTGTTAAGATTCATTAATTCCATTTAAATATGAGTACTCATAAGGTTAACATGGGAAACTCCAGAGCCACTGGGGCGGAGCCCAAGAGTCCGATCAGAATAAAAACAGCTTAGTTTTCCTATTTAATGCCTAAAGAATCAGTGTACCAAATTTCAGCCTCCTAGGTAAAAGGGAAGTAAGAGAATTAGTGATGAGTGAGTGAGTCAGTCAGTGAGTCAGTGAGGGCTTTGCCTTTTATATGTATAGATTTTGCCTTTCTTACATTGTAAATAAATAAAACAAATGTTAAAAAGTTAAAGTATTTTTTTATGTTAGTTCCTATTGTAGGAATTAATATACACTCACAGGTTTATACAGTAGCATTCAGCTACAATAGCATTAATATAGCATAGTACAGCATTATTTATTTATTTATTAGCAATTATATATATTATTATATTATATTATTATTAGCATTATTTATTTATTAGCAAGGGGTGTTATTTATTTCTTGGTACTAAATTAAATCTTTCTTTAAGTATAAGTCAAACTTCAGCATGAGCATCATACTCTCTAAAATACTATCATATATTATGGATTAGCTGAAGACAGATAAGTCCTATTCAAGCGTACATTGCTTACTATCAAGATTATTGTAATACAATTAACTTAACAATAATTCTGCTGAATACAGCTGTCCAAATTCGAGATGTTTCATTCACTCCAAAATCGTTCACTCCAAAAATTAATTTGATAAATTATTTGCCTGTTCGTTCGCTCCAATGTTCATTCAATCCATAGGGTACAGTCAACTCTAGAAGTAGACTAACCAGTAGAAAATATTAAATTTGAAGTTTACTGTACATTGGATCGAATGCACATTCGAGAGAACGATCAGTATAGTTTAAATATGTAATACTCTTGAACTGTTCATTCACTCCAAAGATCGTTCGCTCCAAAAGTGGTGGGTGTTGCGTTCCCCAATCTGCAGGTTCGCGGCGCTTGTATATTGTCGTGATAGTTTATCTTTTTGACCACTTGTTCACCTTAACTGTTATGTCTTTACAAAAATAATACTTTGATATAGTTATTAAAGTCCCTACTGGTATAAAACCTAATTAGACATACCGTAGGCCTACTATATTTTATGCAAAATTGACATTAATTGGCGATAACTTAAGACGTACTCTACGGGCATATTGGAAAACGTCTGAAATACAATTTACATACACATAAATTTTTAATACCATTGACTATACACAGAATAATAATACCTAGTTCACCTAGTTCAATAAAGTTAAAGTTTTGACAACGCGATCATTTATATTGGCATTTACCTTTTCAATGGAGAGCTTAGCGTTGTATACCTTTTATTTACAACAAAAATTCGTAATCACTAACAGTAGAGACTTTGACTTTCGTATAAAATATTAAGGTTTGGAGGTGTTGTGTTTGTAACCATTATTACATATGCTAATAGGAAATAGTGTTCAATGTTAATAATTCAATACGTTTTTAGATACATTTTTTGAGTTTTTAGATTTTTTTTAGTTTGTCCAATAATCGTCTTCATAGCCACTTCTAGGTCTGGCTAGTTTACGTGCGAAGCTTTCCAGCAATCGCCGTTTTCCAACTACGATATGACGGAAATATTTTTTAACGTTTTAAAATCACTAAATGATGAAAAATATTTTGTACCACCCGAGTACCCGTCTTCGTACGGAGTTGGCGCATAATTATAAAATGGTAATTGCAGTTATACAGCTGTTCGAATCAAGATTATTTCTTCTACCTGTCACTGGTATGTTTAAATTTAATGTTGTTTACAAATACCACAACCTTTTCCGATAACATTTTGAAAGCAAATCCAAACCAAGTAAGA